TCCTCTCAGGATCTTGGGCACATATGCACACGCGCCTGGCATGAGTTTAAGCCACTGGGTCCAGGACTCAAACCGCGGTTGACTACATAGGAGTTCAACGACATAGTCATTACACCAACTGCTGGTCCCTCCATACTGATTTTTTTAAAAAGACTATCAATTTAGCACACTACTGATAGAGAGTGGACGAACCAGTTTTAGGTTAACCAGCACTGGAGGTCTGCATGGTTTGCTATTTGGCTGGATGTGAAGGATCACTACAAATTGCTTTAATTGTCATGCTTCTTATCGCTACTTATTGTGCCCTGAGGACACTCTATCTCTTTGAGGTCTATAAAGGATCTTTTGTTGCTGTGATTGTTGCTTCTTCTCCCCGTAGCCCTTTTAAGTCTTTGCTCCTTTCTCAGGATGGCTTCCCTCCTACCTAGAGTCTCCATGTAAAATCTCACTTTATCCACCTTTATAACCAGCAGATCTTTATTTTCACCGTGGTCTAACAGACCCTTAAAATCATTCCCCATGGTTTTTCCACAAACATATCTAGACTAGATCCTTTTTTCTAGCAGCACTGTGATGATTCACTTAGATGATTCCAGGAATCACCCGGATGATTCTGTCATACTCTTAGTGCTTTGAGTGATTCGATGACTCCCTATTTTCCTCCCAACCTCAGCAACTTGCGCCATGGTCATCATTAACAATTATTAACCACTTTCCATGAATGCAGTTGTGTCTTCCTAATCAGATCCACTTCTTCTAAGAGGTCCCTTCCTCCCTTTCCTCTTTCTTTCCTCATTACTCCTTTTCATCTCTTTTTCTCTTACTCCTGCTTGTCTTCCTTCCATATTTATTGGCCATCATTATATGTTTCATATCGGCAGTCTCCAAACTACTATTTTTATGTTATTTTAATTTTTTAGAGAGAGATTTTGCCATAGGACATGAGTACTTGCTAGGGGGACAGAGACAGAAAGAAATCACATCCCAGGGGGGATGGCCATGCCGTGACCCTTTCTCCTTCATTCTCCTATCAGGATTCTGAGCATGCAAGCACATGCACCCAGCATGAATTTTTAAGCTGCCAGGTCCAGGATTCAAACTGTGGTCAATTATGCGGGAGTTCAGTGATGTAACCATTACACTATATGCTAGTCCTCCCAAAACTTTTTTTTTTTTTTTTGAGAGGTTTTTTTTTTTTTTTTTTTTTTTTTTTTGCTATAGGGCACGTGAACTCACCAGAAAGACAGAGAGAAACAGAGAGATAGAAAGTAAGAAATTACCCCCCAGGGGGGATGGCCATGCTGCAATCCCTTTTCCTCCATTCTCCTCTAGCGATCTTGGGCATGCCTGCACACACGCCTGGCATTGAGTTTAAGCTACCAAGTCTGGGACTCAAACTGTGGGCAACTACATGAGAGTTCAGCAACATAGCCATTACACTAACTACTAGTCCCCCCAAATCACTTTTTAAATTCATACTACCATGAATAAAAATATTTTGGAGCAGCAAACACAATAGCTACATAGTTATTTATTTACAACATGTATTTATAAGAATATATATGTGTGTATATATATATATAAGAAAAAATATATTTATATATAGAGACAAATATTTACTAAAGCAAAGAGAGATATAAAAGCAAAGAGGGATGTAAGTTTTAATATTTTCTTCTAGTAACTCTTCCAAAATAGCCTTGAACCCCTGCCAACATGTCACTTTGGACATAAGTATTCTAGACTAGAGACCCTGTCTCCTTTGATCAAAAAAAAAGAAATCTCTAGGATCAACCCCATACCTTGTGATTAAGAAAGCCAGATCCCATATGGCTGACCATAGTTTGAATCCTGGCCCTGGAAGCATGAAAGTTAGGCTGGGAATGTACGCATGCACCAAATCTTGAGAGGATGGAGAAACTGAGGAGAAGGGATTGTGGTGTGACCATGCCCCATTGAGGAAGATGTATTTTCTTTCTGTCTCTCTCTATGGCAAATGCACATACCCTGTTGCTTTTTTTTTTTTTTAATCTTTCTGGAGAGACAGGGTATTAAATAAAGTTACCATCCGTTGCTCTTCAAACATTCACAGTTATACAAGACTACAAGTTTTCCAGTTCGGCAATTTACAGTCTTGTCACCAGTGTTGCACTGTGATAAGAGATATCTGCCTCTTTGAGCCGAACTTTGCATAGAGAAGGATTCCTTCATAGTGACCACTTCAATGATCAAAAATGTAATAGAATTTATAGAGGTTTCCAGGTGTTGCTTGTCTGTTAAGGATTTTTGCATTTGATTGGTGTTTAATAATACCATTGATTGCCTGACTTGGGATATCAATTTTTTTTCTGGTTGATCCCATAAATAATGTTTAACCAAAAGATTTTGGAAATGGATTGAGTGGGTCTAAAACAACAGAATTAGCATTCTTTTTTATTTAGCTATTTAACTTTATTTATGTATGTATGTATGTATTTTAATTTGACCAGAGAGGGACAAAAAGAGAGAAAGCGAGAGACCAAGTCGCCAAGCCTGGGACTTGAACCACGGCTGGCCATGTGGGAGTCCAGTGTCCTTAACCATATGCTACCTGCCAGCCCCTGAAATTAGCATTCTTATGTTTCTACTCAACCATATGCTTCCCACAGGCTGAAAGTCACAGAACATCCCCTAGTCACGGTCCAGCTTTGTTCTCATACATACGTTCTTCTAAGATTCAGTTTTCAGTTATACACCTTCATGGACCCCACCCGAATCCACCTCTAAATTATCCTTGGGGATGTCTTCTCTTCCCTTGACTTTGGTCGCCATCTGTAGCTCTGAGCTTCCTTTTTTTTTTGAGTGGTTTTTGCTATAGGGTGCATGTCCTCACCAGAAAGACACAGAGGGACAGAAAGACAGAAGGCGAAAAATCACCCTCACCCCAGGGGAATGGCCACACCGCAATCCCTTCTCCTCCATTCTCCTCTTGAGATCTTAGGCATGCATGCCCACGTGCCCAGCATGAGTTTAAGCCACCGGGTCCTGGACTCTAACTGTGGTCGAGTACGTGGGAGTCCAGCAACATAGTCATTATGCCAATTGCTGATCCCAGTTCTGAGCTTTCTTACATGTTCCTCTTGGACAGCTCATGGAGGCTACGCCAAGACCTCTAATTCAGTATGTCCAATACATAACTGAACACCTTACCTTCAAAACCTGCTACTACAACTTCTAGACTTATCTCAGCAAATGGCACAGCTATTTTTATCCCATCATGAAAGTTTACATGTAGCCTTCACTTCTTACCACTCTCTTTGACCTTTATAGGGAGTAACCAAGTTTACCTTTGAAAACTCTCAGGCTAACTTCCTTCATTGCCCTAACAGTACCAGGATGAGAATCCTTCTTCATTTTCCACTTCAACTGGGGCTTTAAAACCAACACTGGGAATGATGGGGCAGGCCTGTAAGCCCAGGTACTCAAGAGGCTGAGGCAGCAGGATCATGAGTTCAAGGACAGTCTAGAAAACATATGAGACCTTGCACTGCCCCTTCCTGAAACAAACAAACAAACAAACAAAAATTTTTTTTTGACCTCTACTTCTCCCCTTGTAATTCAGTGTTTCTCACTTTTGCTGTGATGACTTTTCTAAAACACATATAGAATCATATGGTACCTGCTCAAAAACTATGAAAAGGTCCATGTAACATACAGAAATAAGTTCAAAATATCTAGGGTAACATTTTTAAAGCATCAAAAATATTGGCCCCTCTTCTTCTTACTACCAATGTCCTTACTGGTGCATTTTGTAATTCTAACTCTCTGGATCTACTCAGTTACATTGTGAAATTCTTTCTCCTGAATGTCAAGTTTTCCTAAGCCCACCCATTTGGACTTGCCTCATAAACTTCATTCCCCAAAACGGAATTTCTATATTCTTCTCTTAACAGTATTTGTTGGATACTTATATTCAGGTAGCTCTGTTAAACTCTCACATATATTAGAGTGATATACTGATTTCACTACGAATGTTAGGCTTAATGTCTTCATTTTCTTGGTTTCTTTTCAACTAGAAATTGAACTATTAAACAACAAAACCCACTTATTATTCTTTGTCTTATAGTACCAGTAAATTTCTGAGTTTATAGGAGACTTTTTTTTTTTAATTTCTAAATTGAATCTGACTACCATCACCCAAGCAGGTTAAGAGATATGGCTTCATGAGCATTTTCCCCCTCAAACTTGTGTGCATACCATTTATGTGAACTAGAGGTAGTATTTGGAATAATCTTGGCTCTACCACACTTCTTGATTTCAGTATTACAACAAAGACTGGATTAGAGAAACAACAAATAACATATGTTACAAGAAGCGTTCCAATTTTCCAGTAAGTACTGGGTCATGCAAGAGAAACCATATAGATTTCACAAATAATTTAATGCAACCTTTAAAAGAGTATGGGATTCCCAGACATGAAGGAACATAAGCCACAGATATAGTCAAATGACTTCAGAAATATTTCCAAGAGGAAGAAAAAGCCTGACTTAATAAGATACCAACGCTCAAATCCCACGAGACACTCACAGCTAAAGCTTAGATACAATGGGCATGTCAGTAAATTCATTCCTACGCAACCCATGTTGCCAACGCTTAAAAGAACGGGAAAATTAAAACGTGTTTTGCATGGAAAAGTTTTCCCCAGAGTTCCTTATTTTTATATAGGAAATCAATTTGCATCCCTGATGATATCATTCAAATCAGACAACCCAGAGTTGTTAGGAGGTAATTTAGTTTTATGCTGAAGCAATTTGATACTTGTTCTGATTTGTGATTTTCATTTTGTTTGTTAATGAAAAAAATTAATGAGCAATGCTACTAGAAATACAACTCGTCAAAGAATTGGCATTATTAAAGAGCTTGCCATATCGTGTCCATGTGCTCAGTGTGCATTTGGGGTCTGGACGGACATCTGCCCTGAAGGAGCTGTCCATGGAACAACTTGGACAGGTCGCCTTACATACCTTTACACTGATTGGTGTTTTTGTCAAGAATTGCCTTTGTAGATACAATTTTTCCATATCTGAAAGAGAAAGAGAAAAAAAAAATCCATGTTAGTTTAAGCCAATGAAGACATATAAAATACCTTAATGAACACTGGCGCACACACAGTTGAGCATAGGTAAACCCGGAGTGCAATCTCTGAATTCCCATTTCACACCTGGGTAATCTCCTTTCCCAATTGTCTTTAAAACTTAGGAATTTGCTGCTCTCTACTTGTCAGGCTGTTAGAGGTGGCTAAAAGGGGAGTGCGCGCGGCTCTCAGTGAGGTCAGTTGCACCCCGTAGATTCATGGAAGAAAGTGTGGAGCTTGGAACAAGGCTGAACTGGGTTTGCATTCAGCTTTGACTCCTACCTAATGTTGTAACCCTGAACAGTTAACTGAAGGTCTCCAAGCCACAGTTTTCTCATCTGTAAAAATAAGCAGCTACAGGACCAGCAGTTAGCATAATGGCTATGTCGCTGGACTCCCACATAGTTGACTGCCGTTTGCCTCCCGGACCCGGTGGCTTAAAACTCACGCTGAGCGTGTGTGCGTGCGTGCCCAAGATCCCAAGAGGAGAATGGAAAAGGGACTGTGACGTGACCATCTCCCCTGGGGGATGATTTCTCACTTTCTGTCTCTATATCTCTCTCTGTCTGTTTGGCGATCTCATGCGCCCTATACCAAAAAACTCTCAAAAAAAATAAATAAATAAATAAAAAGCAGCTACATACATCAAATTTTCTGGTTCAATTAACCTTTGTGTCTTTGGAAAATTACGGATTAGCGTCCAGGAGAAATGCTAAGAGAATATGCTGAGTCACTAGACTCTCACGGCTCAGATCCTGATTCAGCTTGGATATTTGGTTGGCTAGGTAAGTCTTAAGTGCTCTTGGCATCATTTCGTCTATAATGGCATCGATAAATCTATTAAATTATGATTTAGCAAACTATTTATTTGTAATGATATAAACATAAGATGAGGATCAGTTTGTCTTCCTTAAAGAGTTGTTGTGAGAGTTAATTGGAGTTTACCTAAAGTGCCAATGATGGTAGCTAAGTTAAGGGCCCATTAAAAGTTTACTCTTTTTCCAATTACTCTCTTTGTTATCTGCCATATAAAATATCTGTACTCCTTGGTATGCTCTGAGGGAGGTAAGAGGGTATAAAAGTTCTGCCTTAAATGACAGCTTAAAACATTGATGCTTATATTTTTCCCTTATTTTAAGTCTTATTTTATGATTTTTTTTATGTGGAATTATTGTACATCTTTACAGCATACACTATGTTTTATTTCTCCCTCTCTCCCAGCTCTTCTATTGCCCATCACCCTCCCACACTGCCTCTGGTACCGCAGTTGATCTGCATATTTATATACCTTCTAATCTTTCCATTTCTGCTATAAAATGCAGACACTCAGTGTATATTGAGTGGGGACATACAATGTCTTTCCTTCATAGTCTGGTTTACTTCGCTTAGCATCAAATCTTCCACATTCATTCACTTTCTATCAAATGCCAGGGCCTAATTTATTTTTTAAGGCTGAGTAGTATTCCACAGTGTATATATGTCATACATTTCCAAAAAATTCATCTGTTCTTGGACATTTGGGTTGATTCCATGTCATAGCTATTGTGAATAATACCTGAATAAAGAAGGATGTGCAACTGTGTTTTGTTTTGTTTTGTTTTGACTGAGTATATTCCTGTACCTTACAAAATTATCTTTTAAACAGAAAGCAAAGATACAATCATTCTCATATCAACAAAAACTCAACAAATTTACCAACACAAGACCAGTACTTCAAGAAATACTGAAAGGAATACTATACCAGGAAAATTAAGGAGAGACAAAAAGAAATAAGAGAATGGAAAACAACCGAGAGAATAGAAAACAATCAAGAAAATACCTAGCAATATGGCAGGGATAAGGCCATAAATATCAATAATAACATCGAATATTAAAGGATTAAGTTCTCCATTAAAAGACACAGACTGGCTGAATGGATTAAAGTTAAAAAAAAAAAAAAAAAAGAAGAAGAAGCCCTTATTTGCTGACTACAAGAAATGTACCTCGGAGATAAAGACTGAAAGTGAAGAGCTGGAAAAAAACATATGCAAATAGAAATTAAAAAAAAAAAAGGCTGGAGTTACAGTACTGATATCAGACAAAATAAGCTTTAAGACAAAAACTATAAGAGGCAAGGAAAGACATTATACAGTACTAAAAGGGCTAGTTCACCAAGAAGATATGACACTTACAAATATCTATGAAGATATGATGAAGATATAGATATCTTTGTTAATTATGTTTTCATTTTATCTTTTCACATATACACACATAAGTTCAAATCTTTTAAAATTTGTTTAATATTACCAAAATGACTATTAATTTATGTCTATAACTATAAAAGCTTACTCCCTCCAAACAAAAGTAAGAGAGATAGAGGCAAAAACACCCCAAGGTTAAAATCTCAATGCCGTGATCCACCCCCAGCCTCAGCCAGCCTGGGATCATAGGTGTGTGTGTAACCTACACACTCAGAACAGTCTCTGGACATGAGTCGCGAACCCCCTTGTGGGTCAACCTCACAGAGCATTGTGTTATACTGCTGCGTCACTGTCTGTTCCCCGAAATCTTTCTAAATTGCTTTCTTATTTATTATTATTGAGTTTGCTATAGGGTATGTCTGCTCACCAGAAAGAGGCAGAGAGAGAAAGAGGGAAAGTGAGAAGGCAAACCACCGGGTCAAGGACTCCAAACGCAGTCAGCCATATGGGAGTTCAGTGCCTTAACCACCATGCCACCAGCTGCCCCCCTTAACTGGTTTCTAAAGCTACTTCTGAAATTTCTTCTTAAGGTTTTTACTATAAGCTCAGTGGAGAAAGTGTACTCCCTCCAAATCCCCCACCCCAATGGGTATGCAAGCACATGTGTCCGATGTGATTTTCAAGCCACCAGGTCTGGGACCCAAACTTGGTTAGCTACATAGGAGTCTAGCACCTTAACTACCACACCAACAGATGGCCCCTGAGATTTTCATGTAAGCACCATCAAATTTAAAATTCAGCTCTACTTTTAAAAATGAAACTAAAGAGTACTGTACCTCATAATGAATTATATCTTACAATTATATCTTACAACAGTCAACGTGTGGTGTGCATATGGTTCACTGTATACAAGGTGTCCTCTACCTCATCAAGTTTAGTGTGTGCAAAAACTATCATTTTGTTACACTCTGAAAGAAATGCAAATGCTTTCTGCAGCATTTTTGAATTCATTGGCAAGCCACATATTTTCTGAAAAAAAAAAGGGGGGGGGAGATTATTTCCCAGAAAGTATTACAATATTACTATAAATGGAAAATCACACATACATGCCAAAAAGGCAAACTGCTATTTCTTGACTTCCCTATTCCTAATTATACTCTTGGCGAGACTTTGCAGTAGTGCAGAATCATAAAACAATAGAACACATCTCCGAGTACTTGACACTGCCCCTATGCTGACTGGAGTTACAGGAATTCCATCCCTTGGCTCAGTTACAACATTCTACATTAACAATTATTTTGTAAAGCGAGAATATGCTTTAAACAAGAGAAGGCACTTAATGGGCCACCGGTTACAGGGCCTGTCTGCAACTCACTCGATGACAAACTGCTACTTTCTGCATGACTGCTTCTGTATTCTCCATGCTCTGTAAAGTCAACAACGGATGCGGGTAAATACATTTAGACTATATTTTTAAAGACCCAAACTATCATAAACTCAAAAAACCACCTCTACAGTCTATCTGTGAAGAATTAAATATCTTTCTGATATTTTTATCAAAGTATACTAATAGACCAGAGTAAAAACTACGCTACCTACTAAAATTACATTTTTTTACATACACTAATAAAAATTAAGATGTCTGCGTTAAAATATATTCCTAAATATATATTACCTCACTTCCTTATTCTTCTCCATTTTAGGGTTTAGAGTCAGCACTTTAGTCTTCCTCAAGTTATTTTTATTTTAACTTTTTCCAACTAGGCCTTCTATAGGTAGAAAGCAAACTGCGATATTAGAGAAATATACGTGACCAAATGACTGACTGGTGCCAGGAAATGGACGTCTGAGTACTGATGCTGTGCGCCTCCTGGCTCCAGAAGCTTTCAGATAAATCCAATTCACTTCTCTCTGCTTTCATTTCCTACAGCTAAAAGAGATCAAATGCTATCCACCGTCGACTTCCTTGGGAGTCTGAACTTCCTGGGAGAGACAAGTGATGTAAGCACATGTTAAATTGCAATTCTTTCCAGATGGGCCTTCCCTAGCCAATCTGAGAATCTTTTTGTTTTGCCAGAGGAGACATGTACTCACCAGAGATAGATAGACAGAGAGAGAGAGAGACAGAGAGACAGAGAGAGAGAGAGAAAGCGCTCATCAATGGGGCATGATCGCACTGCAATCCTTTCTCCTTCAGCTCTCCATCCTTTCAAGATTTGAGGTATACTACACACATGTGCCTAGTGTTATTTGTTTTGTTTTGTTTTGTTTTTTTTGGGAGAGATTTTCACTGTAGGGCGCGTGCACTCGCCAGACAGACAGAGACATAGAGACAGAAAGTGAGAAATCACCCCCCAGGGGGGATGGTCACGCCGCAATCCCTTCTCCTCCATTCTCCTCTCGGGATCTTGGGCACGCACGCACATGCGCCCGGTGTGAGTTTTAAGCCACTGGGTCCGGGACACGAACCACAGTCAACTACGTGGGAGTCCAGCGACATAGCCATTACGCTAACTGCTGGTTCCCCCTAGTGTTATTTTTCAAGCCACCATGGCCAGACTTTAACTGCATAGTTAGTCATGTTGGATCTGGCTCTCTCAACCACTAGGCCATGGGGCTGGCTAGAGATGCTTCTAATACAGCTTTGTTAGGAAAATCTTTGACATGAAAAAATATACAACTCCATATCCTACTTATAGATTCACCAGTTATCCTGAGTGCTCACATGTTCTCCAAATATAGCCAACTTTCAAATAGCATTTTCTTTTT